TGTCACTTAAAGAAGGCAACAGATTTTACCATCCTTCAGTTTCATGGGGTGGAGAGCATTGATTTGGACATCCTGATAAAACAGTTTATCATTGACAGTGGGGTCCCAGCCTCACAGTCTGTAGTCTGAGTTCTTATCGAGGAGTTAATATACAATGTACATTTTTTATTGGACAGATCAGCGATGTAAAAATATTCTCCACGTCTTACCCCACATTAACGAACTCACAACAGTAACTCCAGTGATAGTATTAGTGAAATGTTTGCAGAATAGCTCACTTACATAAAAATGTTAGACTCCTAGATCTGTTCAGGAATGCTTGCTCAGGGGTCTAGGGCTGATGTGCATTCCATTGTACACACAAAGGAAAGTTGAAGCTCCAAGTTGTCAGCTGTTTTGACCAAGGCTGTTGTCGGTGGTGTAGGGATGAACTCGGGTGTTAGGGCTCTGCGGTTCCCTCTGTGAAGAAGGCCTAGTGTTACAGTGTCTGCAGACATCTTCCTACGAGTGTTCCCAGCTCCAGTCCGGATTAGACGAGGTGGGAACATCTGTGGTTTTGGGTTCAGAGTACTTTCTTAGGTGGCTTCTTCCAGCCTTTTCTCTCGTTCTCCAGAGATATCAACTCTGGGAAGTCCTTCTTTATTTTCACTAGTTTGTGTTTTCTCTTGCAGGCTTAAAGCCATTGCTCATGAAGGAGTGGTCATTTGGTAGTTTTTTAAAAAAACTTTTAAGGGCATGTGGCTTACTATTGTCTTATAAAAGGAAACCTTCTAAGCCTTATTTCTGTTTCTTCTCCTCTGGGACCATCATTAGTTTCAATTCATATTTATATACTAGGCATGTGTCTCTCATGATTTCAAGGTTAAGCCCCAAATCCAGAAAAATCTCTTACCTCTTTGTCAAGGCCCTGAAATCGTTCCATATCTGCTTGCAAAGCTTTCATCCCAAGGTGCATCTCCCTCAGCATCTCAGAGCCCATGAGTTGGCAAAGTCTCTTTCCCCTGCGATGCACCATAGGACACATGTCATTCGTCATCAGCGGAAGCATGGCTATGTGGGGGAGAGAGCCTGCCAGTGCTGTGACTGTGGCCGAGCTTTCAGTCAGAGCTCCTATCTGTTCCAGCACTGTGGAGTTCATGCTCATGATATTCCTTACCAATGCCAGCTCTGTGGGAAGTGTTTCAGCAACCCCTCCCCCCCGCACTCAGCACTACCAGCTCCATCCTCCAGAAATAGCAGTTGGGGGCAGTTAGTGTTAAAAAGCTTTTCTTAACCTGCTTGGGTTTATCCATTAGAGAGATCTTTTAATGCCCTTAATTTGAGATGGCCCTCACCCTCCCTCAGGAGACACCCTGTTAATTAGAAAATTCAGGATGGTGAGAAATAGTGCATGGTTAAAAGTGTACAGGACATTCTTTTTATTAAGCAATTAATTTTGTACGCATCAAAAGTCTCCTCAACGAAACATTATAAACAATATTTCTGTCACTTAAAGAAGGCAACAGATTTTACCTTCCTTCAGTTTCATGGGGTGGAGAGCGTTGATTTGGACATCCTGATAAAACAGTTTATCATTGACAGTGGGGTCCCAGCCTCACAGTCTGTAGTCTGAGTTCTTATCGAGGAGTTAATATACAATGTACATTTTTTATTGGACAGATCAGCGATGTAAAAATATTTTCCACGTCTTACCCCACATTAACGAACTCACAACAGTAACTCCAGTGATAGTATTAGTGAAATGTTTGCAGAATAGCTCACTTACATAAAAATGTTAGACTCCTAGATCTGTTCAGGAATGCTTGCTCAGGGGTCTAGGGCTGATGTGCATTCCATTGTACACACAAAGGAAAGTTGAAGCTCCAAGTTGTCAGCTGTTTTGACCAAGGCTGTTAGAGGTGGTGTAGGGATGAACTCAGGTGTTAGGGCTCTGTGGTTCCCACTGTGAAGAAGGTCTAGTGTTACAGTGTCTGCAGACATCTTCCTACGAGTGTTCCCTCAGCGGCATCCCTCAAAACCCTCCCAGCCAGGAGGACAGCCAGCGTTGCTCCCCCCGAGGCTCAGTCTCCTGACTGCTTGTCCTCGTGTCCTTTCAGAAGCCCATCTCTGGGCAGTGTGCGTTCCTCCACTGCCCACTCCAGGGAGGGTGTTTCTGCCTCTCTAGAGCGAGTAGTATTACCTCTTTAGAGCTGTGCCCCGTACATTGTGACCACGTGCAGAGAAATACCAACTACCTAGCATTATGTACAATTTTAACATGTAGTTCTTTGGTCATGGGTTTAACATAAAGTTAATCGTCACATGGAACTCAAGTCTATTGGATTATGAAAGTAATAGACCCTTTTCATCATCTCGGCGAGTTCTGTTGGGCATACTGCTCTCGATAGTTCCACGTGGACAGGACATGGTGCTGCACAAACCGCTATCCTCAGCTCTCTGGAGAATGAGGGAGGAGGTTCTCGAATTCAAGACCAGCCTTTGCTTTTAGCTTCCCAGGACTATGTATTTCTTCAGCCTGTGTGTTTTGCTCAGGCTGTGGAATAATTTCCCAATCCCCCCCTTCTTTTTCTCTTCTGAGCCCATGTGCCGTTCTCTCCACGAATGTGTCCACTGGATCAGTTTGTTTGCCTGTGGTTCTGCAGTCATTTTAGTCTTAGTGGAATCCTTTTCCAAGTTTTTTTTTTTTTTATAGTTAGTTTCTTTTTTGAGATAAGGTCTCCCTGTATCAGCAATTCGCCTGGAACTTACTATGTAGACCAGACCTCTCAAGAGGTCCACCTGCCTCTTCTTCCCAAGCGGTGGTCTGAAGGACTGTACCACCATGCCCAACTTCTCTCTAGACCTTTGGTAATCTCTAGTTGGGACACATGCCTTTATGAAATAGGCATTTGATGTTGACGTGAATGAAATCAGTTGTCAGATAGTAGAGGTTAAATAAAACGAGAGACCAAGAGCTGAGCAGGCTTGGAATCCTTCTGCTTTCTTCTGAGCGGGAAGAGTTTGACATCCTCATTGGCCAGTCCCTCAGTGGTCCTGCAGGACTGTGATAGCCTGACAAGGGCTGCAATCCATGCCTTCCTCCTTTAGGGATGCAGGAGCGCAGCAAAGACACAGAAAGCCCCACGGGAATGAGGTACACATGGTCGACCCATATTGCATAGTATTTCTTAAACTGATTAACCAATGGAACCCCCTTTTGGGTTACGGCTTTTAGGCTTTCTAAGTATGGGTGATCGACTGAGCGTGGTTTTAAAAAGCTGATGAATTCTAATCTTAGTTTCTATTTTATTTTTCTTCATTTTGTTCTCTCTGTCAGTGGTGTTTTCATCAACATGAAGATCCCTAATAAGGGCTCATTTTCCTGCCCATTCTTTTGTGATCTTTATTCTTTACATTCATTTCCAGACCTTAACCTGCAAAAGGTCATTTTGGTCAGTTTCCATCTGTTTCTCCCGTAATGATGTGTGTTTCTGAGTAAGAAGATTAGGAGACTTTATGGTATTTCTGTATCTTGAGAAGAGCCCTGAAAGCCAAGAACTGACCCCAGAGCAGAGTGCCCTGTAGAAGAACCAGCCATAGCACAGGGTGTTTTCATCAACATGAAGATCCCTAATAAGGGCTCATTTTCCTGCCCATTCTTTTGTGATCTTTATTCTTTACATTCATTTCCAGACCTTAACCTGCAAGAGATCCTTTCTGTCACTTTCCATTTCTTTCTTCCATAATGATATGTATCTCTGAGTAGAGTATAGAAAATTTTAAAGTATTTCTAGATCTTGAGAAGAGCCCTGAAAGCCAAGAACTGACCCCAGAGCAGAGTGCCCTGTAGAAGAACCAGCCATAGCACAGGGAGGGATGGTCTCCCAGTAGGTAACTGCTGTGTCTTTGTTAGGAGAATCTTCTGAAGATCCATGGGAACCACAGCAGGACATCCAGGAAGAGCAGGTCCTCAGTCCTGTGACAGAGAGTGACACCGGGACCTTCCCTGAGGAAGGAGGCCATGGCGGTGAGGAAGATGAGGAGCGCTCTGATCTCTCCAGTCCTAAGGGAATGGAGCCCCTGGATA